ATTTAAATTTGTATTAATTTGTACTTCCAGTTGATTGATTATGTTAGACCGAGGTGTTCGGTCTCTGTTGACATGTCGGCTCCTAGTACGGACAATTCAGAGATATCCGAAAATATACGTGATGTTATTTTGGTTGGTGACGACTGGCAATGGAATCCAAGATACGCATTTGGAACTCGTCATCTAGATGTAATCACATCACTATCACTCACTGGGGACCCGATATATCAACAGAGATAAACCACTTCTGTCCAGCATAATTAATCGACAGTAAGTGAAAACTAATCTAAAAACAAGTCATAACCGATACGCATTGCAAAAGATGGGGCCTGTTGGATAACGCTTTTGCCGTTTGAAATGATGGGCACACGGTTCAAGTTTCATTAAGAGTACCAAGACTTACAAGGATTGCAGGTATATCTAGATGAAGAGTCCTGAATAGGATGAAGTGTGCATACTGGATTTCATAACTAGAAAACAAAAATAGTTGGTTTTTACGAGTTGATCACGGATTGATATCAGTTAGAGAACCATTGAAAACCAGGGAGTACTGGACAGCTGCTGTTTCATCCTAGTTTGGGAATCATCAGCAGTACGTATCCACTCGTAAACACATAACTAACCCGTACAAACCAAACTATAGAAAATTCATCTGATGCTCGCTAGTGACTTGCTACAGGATGGAGTTTCCTGGAGTTCTAGTGAGAAGTCGTAACCAGTGAGTTCCAACCAGATGTCACGTGTGAGGATGGATGTTCCACCGACAACATTGGTTGGGGTCGCACTGAATCACGAATCGGTAGAAGTTAGAATTCATGAGCCATTGAATCGGGTCCCAGTGGCTGAATAGTATACGAGCTTGCCGGAAGGTCGTGGGTTCGGATCCCAGTGGGTGCGTACTGATGATGATTCCCGAACTAGGATGAAACAGCTGTCCAGTACTCTTTGGTTTTCAATGGTTCTTTAGCTGATATCAATCCGTGGTCAACTCGTAAAAACATAACTAACCCTTACAAACCAAACTATAGAAGAATAGTTGGACAAAGTTTACAGTTTTGCTCAAGTGTTAAAATGACCGGTTCATTGATTAATATTTTTGATTCTCAGACATACCTGATAACATTTCTGAACTAACGACTTCAGTAAGCCACTCAAGAATTCACAACGTAACGCCGCGCACTAACACAACTATTATTCACACTACTGCACTGTTATATAAGGTGAAAATTATGGAAATATTTAAAACGCACAAGAACAACAAGACAGAGTGAAAAGCGCACAAAACATAATCGAACTGTAAAATCCTGTGATTCAAAGTGTCTTCAGATGTTAAAGAACTCTTTCTATTATGCCTAGACAGCCACCTTAAGTCCTAAAAATTACTTTAACGATAAGATTGAACACCACAACACACCCTAAACACAGACAGTATATTACAGGTAAAATATCCCCCATCTACATCCACCTCATTTTACAGAATAAAATGATGACTGTGTAATTCTGACACCTTAATTATGAAATATTACGACAGCAAAATGCATTTTATTGATATACCAGCCATTTTGTTGATCTGCCTTGATCTTACATGATAGTTTGCAAATCCATGAGAATGTGAGTACAGAAGATTGGATGTTTCCATCAGTGTCCGACAAATCAAAACCTGTAAATGACAGAAAATACCATTTGACATCAGAGTTCAGAAATCCTCCACTGTCTTTATTCCTTTGCATTCAAAGTGGAATATAAAAGTTTAAGCTTGAGCTTTGAAGTTTAAGTAGAAATTGTGCTTTTTGCCAGTCTCACACCCAACCCAGCATCTTCATTGGGCTTATTATCAGCTAAGTGAGGCTTAGAAATGCGTTGGCCATGAATGGAATCCGAACCGCATCCGTAGTTGCGAGCATTCTGGGGCGGTCTGGGCTACTAGAATTTCCATCCATCAATATGCCTAAGCTCTTCTGCATTTCTTATTCTTTAGACCATGCAATCATATCAAATTACGACTACATGAACTCGCGGACATACTTAACTAGCTTTCAACTCAACGCTGTGAGATTCTTGTAAGAAATGAAGAAAATATGTACTGAATAGATTCTCTCTTCATAGACAACAAAGCTACATCACATGGTATACTTCAGATAATGACTTTATATGTAAATCCCATACGAAGACAAAATATTTTGGAATGCTGAAAAATTTTGTACTGTTTGTTCATATATTGTCTGAAATAAAGCTTTATTATTTAAAGAACTACCGCCAAACCACCGATGCGAATTCATTTGCGATTTGCAATTCACAAAGAGTTTCAGGTGAAATTTCACCAGTTTCTTTTGGAAACATAAATTTTTAAGAGCACAGTGTGATCTGCTTCATACTATATATGACAATCGAGAAAGCAAGCATAATTGCATGATATTACATACTACTGATCGATTCATATGAGTAGTTGACTACCACTCACATCAACCAGTAGTGCTTGCTAACCAGATCAAATTGATGTAAACACCAGATAGCCGTTTGTGGTCAAGCTGATCAGCTATTTACCCAGTTCAAATGAGCTCAGAGACCCCAATCAATTCGGATCACCAGAATCCCAGCTAGCTTACTTGGGTGAAATGGTAATACACTGAATCCGATCCGCAGTTTGCAATTCACATAGTTCTGAGGTACACCACTGATGCGCTCCGCCCAAAATAACCGACCAGTATTTAGATTACTTCAATATAGCTAACAAGCACTACTGGTTGATGTAAGTGGTTTCCAGCTACCCAAATGAATCGATCAGTAGTATATAACACCATGCACTTATGTTTTATTACTGATTTTGGAACTAAAGAACTTAGAATCTTGATCTCGTATATTTCATTTGGTCAGGAAAAAGAACTTTACACAACTGTTACTCGTTTCGCTTATTTACGACATTGTCTGTTAATTCACAGACACAGGTGACTGATAGTATACTTATCTGGCAATGTAACAAAACTCTAGCTACACAATACCTAAACCAACATGCAAATAAAGATAAGACTCTATTCATCATGATTAACTCTGATTAGAATGATCACAGTTAAAAATATATCACTTAATTTTTTTCTGAAATACAAAGCTCATCTCTATTAAATTATTTAGTTATTTATACATAAATGTTTCTGCTTATTGATTGCACCATAGCAGAGATATACAGATTGATAGTAGTAAAATAAATAAACATCTCACTTGAAAGTTATCAAATCAATTTTGATAAGTGTTTATTCAATCGTTTAACAATGAGACTTCATACATGGACTACTTAGACCATTTTGACATCAACAAATAGAACTAAAGATTATTTGTAGTTATGTATAACGACCACACAAAGACTCAAGGTAAACGACGTGTTAGTAGGCTGTTGAAAAAACATCAGGATGTCTCCAAATACGAGTTCACTCATATTCCTATGCCTTTTGAATGTCTTAGCAACATGTTGTTTCCTGTCAGTTGACGTAAGTGTTTCAACAGTTTAGTGGTGATATACAAATTAATAAAATATTGAATAAAACCACCAGAAGCGTCTATGCAATAAAATACTGAAACATATAACCGGAGAGATAGAGTTTAGCTTTCAAAGTTGAAGTCAATGCAAACATGAATGTTTTTAACGTAATATAATACTGCATTTAAAATGGGGAAAAATCACGAAACCTGCTAACAGTATTTAAATGATTACTGGTGAATATGTCTATACTACAACGTCATATCAGCAACGCTGAGTTTAAAAATAATGAGAGACATTTCCAACGCCTGTGACTTTAGATAATCACTAAATAGGTGTATTAATCCATTGGAGTTAGATTTCCAATGATATGTACCTCAGACGACTTCGCTGAGACTATTCTCTTCACGATTCTATGTCTAATGTTTACGTTTTCGGTTTAACAGATACACACACATGCACATGAGAAATACATAATGAAAGTGATAGTCAGTAGATGTCCAGTTATAGTGACCCTAAATCACACCGACAAAATATCCTACATAATCGACGAATTCTCAAATGTCGAAACAGGGCTGAATAAGCTGTAGTATTTTTTTGGTAACTAGAAAGACAACATCGATTGCAAATTAAAAGTATTCATTGGTTTACTAACAACCGCCCAAGCAAAGTATATATACATATATATATATATATATTCTCAAACGCATACAGTTTTAGACTACAAACACTAATCAATGCCAGGAATCAGATGGGCGACCAGAAATAATAAGCCACAATGAACTCAGGCCACGTAGCAAAACAACGAAGAACTTATCATCCAACAAAGATACATAAAACATGGAGATAGGTTAGATATACGGTGTAGTGACCTTCGAGTGATATCACCCGCAGGACAGGCCTTGAGTGAAATCTGAATACGAGTCAAGTTGGGTGTTTGAAGGTGAAATGGACATCATGTGGGAATGCAAAGAAAGCGTGTAGGTAGTTGTGCAGTTAGCTGAAAAATATGACAGAGAAAAGAAAACACTGGTGATGAGGCTATATACTCCACTCAGGACCCGAGGGACGATCAACAATAATAAAAATCAGATCTCCCCATAGTCTATGAATCAATGTTTCTTCAGAAGCCTGATTAGTGTTAGCTGCAACAGATGTTCAGTTGGTAAAACATACCAATTATTTGGCAGATAATTAAATTTTATTATTCTTTTATAACTACCGTAGCCTTTTACAATTAAAAAAATATAACAGCAATAGTACCTACTCAAAATAAGAATATATTTCTCATACCTATCACAAATTTATCTATTGGAAGAAGTCATAAAAGACTTGTCCAAAGCTCTGACACTGTACAGTGAAAATCATTAACCTGAAAGGATTATAAAAATTAGACATACCATTAGAGAAAACTCTGGCAAACGAATGAAGTTACTGTGTGGTGTATTGGGTTGATCAAGAAAATATTACAATCAAAAGAACAAGAAACTGGAAGAAATAAACATAAGAAAAAATAATAATTTTATCACTAGGTGGCTAGATCAGCCGCCGTTCTTAACTTAATCAAATGTTTGATCTGTTGAGAAGATGCCTCAAGTTTTGCCCGTCGGCTAGCCAATTCCAGAGATAAATTTACAGCACGACGAAAACAGGACTGTGCATGACGTAAGCTAGAGGGAACTAGTACTCCAGAAAACCATCGGATTGGGTCAGCTGATGGGCTAGAATCCCACTTGTTACTAGCCAATTCATCAATTAATTGAAAACGAACAGTTTTGAAATTCGTATCACAAACAGGTTCTAATGGCTATAAATAAAAATAAAAACTTGACATCATGTAATGAGTTATATGTTGATTAGTATAGTTATTTATCAAAATGGAAACTTGAAAAAATTTTTCAAACTGTTCAAAAAGAGAGGCAAGTGATGTTCTTTATGTACAAGATCCCGTGACTTAAGCCATAAAGTAGTTTTAAAAGTCATGTAAATGAGTGTCGGTGGCACAGTGGTTAGGACTCTCGCTGACCATGCACATGGTCCGGGGTTCGAGCCCTCGCCGACGCACACTTGATATCTATGGTCGGCCTGCGAAATTTGGGCTACCGATATCCACGCTGAAAACTCCATACTTCTACCAAAAGTACGGTGTGGGGGTGAAGCTGTAATCAAAAAAAAATATATATATACACTTTTCTATCGAATGAAAACTCACATTTCACGACGAACGACAAAATCTAAGACAGGCGAGGATCACAAACAATTTTCAAAGAAGGAGTTACTACTTGGTAATTTTTTTCGTTACAAAAGTGTTATCCATAAATTCAGAATATTATTTTGGCTTCTATGTTAGGCCTAATCTTAACGAATGCCTCTTTCGCTTTCAGTTTTCACCTACTTATCATATTTAAGTAGCAACATTTACAATAGTGTATTCTGTTACATAGCACACAATAGAGAACAAACACCATATTGTGATACACCTTGTCACAAGAACACTTTTGGTTTCAACTTGCTTTTGAAATTCTAAGTATCCAGACTTTTTAAAATATTATAGTTGGATATCTGCTTACAATCATCCTCATGAACCCATCCATACAATTCTGTTGTTAATTTTATTACGTCTTCCCAATTAGCATCAAAATTTGTGCTCGCTGCTTCCAGAATACTCGCTCCTTAAACTGTGGAGGGATGAACGGATCACCACCGTAAATCCAGTGTCCAATCTGTGAAGCAAGGCAATACTTAAACTCACTTCAGATACACTACAATCTCCAAATTCTACTTTATCTGACTACAGTATTTGTGTGGTGAGAGATGGCTGTTAGCCAAATTGGTAGACAGTAATTTACGTCAATGTTTATGTCCCAATTATTAGTCATGTGAAAACAAGAACAAAGACTGACAGCAGACTTTGAGTAGGCGGATACAGTTAGCATACAGATGATCTGACATTCAAGAAACAGCCACTAAGAGATGAAAGATTAACTTTTAGTGAGAAACAACCGATCAGAAGACTGTGTTTGTCAGCTAACAATAATCTATAATAATGTACATGAAAATCTATAAATATGTGTTGATTTCTCTAATAAAGGATTTGTTGCCTGGCTCTTGTCTTCTGTTGTTACATTGGAATAGCTTAAGTTGGCATTGCAAAAACTCAAACACCTAATCGTTCAAAAATTCTTCTAAAAATAACTGATGCACCATCTCATTTAGAGAATTCATTTAATCAATTGACCAACTGAAAACTATTAAATGAGAACAGAAAAGGCTGATTCAAAACTAAAGTGGTCGATAGCATACACCAGAATCTGAAATGATGAAGTGCCAAATAGTATTAAAATATTCCGAGAACTATAAGAAAATTACGTCATCGAAGTCAAGCACATGGATAGTAGTATTTGTAGTAATAGTAGTGAGGAAGACTCAAACACCGATATGTAGTTGTTTTTTTAGGAACTCTGATGTTTAAAGTGCAAGGTTACACAAAAACAAGACCGATTCAACGAAAAAGCGAATCTGGAGACTTCATTCCATAGGCCACTGGTTCATATCCGGCTGCGATCTAAATTTTCATTTACCATTCAAAGATGCCCACAGTAAAACTGAAAACAACGCATGTAAGCGGGCAGTACTGTTTTCAACTAGACAGGCTTTATTCCATACATTTACTAGACGTTTGGAAAAATATCGTACAGCCATCATCCCTCTCTTGGTTATAGTGAAGACCACACCTACTGATTATGCCAGCACTACTACTTATACATCTTACTCCCTTTCTTACTAAGTTTTGTCAACTCTTCCTTGTTCTTATAGCATCTTCGGTAAAACTACATTTATCTACTTCGCTTAGAAGCTAGCATTACGCAATCTCATTGTAAGTTATGATAGTTTTTACCTACTACGTTTAAGTGACGAGGTTACGTTATGAGGTGCGTCGGTGGCATAGCGGTTAGGAAGCTCGCCGACCATGCACATGGTCCGGGGTTCGATCCCCACCCGACGCACTCCTTTACCTCGCTAAGCCAGAAATAGTGCTGGTGAAGAGGAAAAGTTGGGCATGAGGCTAGCAACCCCATCCTGTAAAATAAACACTGCTACAGAAACTTCAAGCCACTAGCTGGAAGCCCTATGTTCCACTGGGGAACGTGAAGGAAAAGATGTTTACGTGAACATATGTTTGTAAAGTCATGCTGTTTTCACTAATCCTATTATCACAAATCGCTGCATTATCATTATTATTAATAGAGTTATTACTATCATGGTAGAGAATGGAGTGCAATGGAGATGTATGCCCAAAGCCTTATATACCACTCGGAACACAAGGAAGGAATAATAATAAGTCTGCTTGTTAAATCTAACTTTATGGCAGCTAACGCAATGCATACGTGTATGCACTGTGAGTTAGTATAGGTGATACAAGATAAAATAACTGCATTTGAGAGAAGCCCAAAATTTCACCAAGTGACTCTCCTTCTTTATCTGATAATTGCAAGCGACTTCGGTATTGTTCACATAGGAGTGATGTTTTCAAAACGAAAATGACTAAACACCTAAAGCCTTCGTAATTTTGAAAATAGTCAAACTTCGACTAAATAGATTCAGTCGCTTAGATAACCATAAAAATAATCTAAGCAGTTACCTCTTCGATAACTGCAGCACGAAAAGATGCTCCTCGACTAGACATTTCATTTAGATTATAAGAAGTTGCAGATACTGAACAACTGTTTCCTCGAAGATTATGTCTTGTCTTAGCCAACAAAAGCCTACCCTCACCTATTTAATACAAAAGTTAGTTGAAATCCTTGGATTTACTTAAAGAATCTTCCAAATGATGATTCAGATCAAGTATGATAGACAGATTTTCAAGGTGGTCCAGTACAAGTGCATCTAACTCGTCATCTGATGGTAACTTGTTCATTGCCTACAATTAAAGAAATAAAAAATAAGAATGATAACAAGTAATGTTTGATTGCATTCAGGTACTAAGTAAGTACCTATTTAGAAGTTGAATATAGTGTGTTGCATGTGATTTTGGTGAAGGTGTATCGTCTGTCTATTGATAATTCAACATTCAGAGTGTAACCACTTATTTTGCATACATGTAAGTTACTAAGATATAAAATTAATCACTTAACCAATAGTTTTTGTCTGATATTTATTTGGTTTCTTTTCAAAAATAGTCATCACCGAAGTACTCTTAATGAACAATGATTAAAAATATCGAATTTTATGATTGCAGTTAAAGTGAAATAGACAAACACGATCCCCAAGTAGTATCTCCTATTTTAAAGTCTTATATGAACTAGAACAACTAAAAGTAACCAACATGTTGTTAAGTAATCTAGAATACATTGGATTATGAGTGAATCAGTATTTGGATACATTAATTCTGATGCATTTGAATAGCCTGTCAACATGTCGTTTACGTCCAGTCAACTAGAACAGGATGAGAATCACTTAGATTAGTCAAAATTAAGAACAGACGCAATGCCTAATAAATCAATGAACAAAAGCTTGTTGTAGTAGCACATATGAATTTACTACTTATTTCGTTGTAAGTAATGAATATTCTTCTGCAGTATTTTCTACTGTTGTACCTTATTTCTTCTCGTTTAGCAGAGAACTGGAAAATGCTGATTCGAAAACAATAGTACATAAGTGCTTTAGGTTCTGAAGGGAATGAATCGCAAATGAAGCCGTTGTAGTCACCAGCAGCCGTGTATACGTACCATGAGTATTACTTTTCTGATTTACGTATCAGAGTTTAAGTCATCAGTTTGGAAGTGAGCTTTAAAGACAACCATCTTCTGTCTGTGCATCTGGACAGTATTTCAACTCGCACGAATGCTGAACGAAATTTTAGTGAGACTCAATGCAACCTATCACGTTTCCTACTCCACTAACTAAACGTTTAATCAATTAGTTCACTATCATCACATTGTTTATCTTCAAATAAGGACTGCCTTGTTTTGTTCCTACTATCTTCACTTTTCTTTATTTTTATTTTTGTCACCTCCGCATCATCGTTTGTGAAATGTCGCTCAATTTGTACCGTTTCAATTTTTATATGATTAATTTCAAAAAGCTTAATCTTATAGAACACCACATGTAGGGTTCGAGCTTACCACTTGTGACCACTGATGAGAACGAGACAACAAAGAGATGTAGACAGAACCCTAGAAAATCTCGTTATTGATGTATACCCCATCTCAGAGGCTGGCACACAATCTAAAGAACCAACGCGAAATCATCCTGTAGAATTACAACGCAAATCGTCCTGCAACATAACAGAACACTTCAGGAATCACTTCTTGACTATTGAAACCTTTTGGAATAGATATTACCCACAATTCAACAGAGCTTTTTTACCAAATATTCTGTAGGTCAAAACGAAAAATCAACATCAGTAAAACAGAGTGGATGAACTGAAAAAGACTATTTAGGATATAACGGACGTGCTCCATCTTCAAATTCATGTAAAAAACTGGCAGTCAAAGGACATACGTTTCTTTATATCTGTACACGTGAAAAACTGCGACTAGAGAAACCCAAGATTTTAAAACAGGAAACTTGCAGAATTTCAAAGAATTACTAGAAACCTCATACTTAGATCATTATGCCGCTAACAAACACGTCGATAAAGGTCAAAATCATCAATCAACAAAGAAAAAATCAAGTGACTGGTTGGAACTCAGTTAGCCGGGACACTAGTTGTAAGAGCTAATTATACCGTCCTGCTCTCCATGGCGCAGATAGGGCGTGATTTCAACTTAGGACTTAATGACTAAAAGTAGACAGCTTAGGTCAGTGAGCAGGTGTCGACACACTAATGAAGGGCACTCAATAAAGGACAACGTGATGAGTACACAAAAATCAATCCCAATTAAATAATTACATTAACTCCCAAGTTAATCGCCGTCCAATACTGTATGTTATTTGACGCATCCAAAATCGTAGTTCAGAAAACATACGCAAGTTGAAGGATGTCTTTCATGGAGATGAACTACAAGATATATATCCAAAGTTTGTTACGCGGTCGCATGCTCAAGTCAACTTAGTTTAAATAGTTTGTAAAATCTTCTCGCTTACGCAGATGTGTCTACATATTGAAAACGACAGCAAAGCGTATGACTAAGGTGAACGCTGAGATGTGGAGAAAAAAGGAATACTCTATATTTCTCAGAACTCTAGTCACTTGTACATCTTGAGTGGTGTTCTCTAAGCCTGGTGAGAAATAAATGACTGAAAAGTAACCTTCATCACCGCGACAGCGAGCCAAGAGCCTTGCTACAAACGGTACAGAAAACGTGTTACAGACCACTGCCGTCCAGTGAAATGATGCAGTTTTCAACAACAATCAAAATCCCAATAAAATCAGTATTAGATATGTCCTCAAGCAATTGGTTGAACAGGATGAAACCATCGCATCTAAGAAAGCATATTACCTATAAACAAAACATACTACCAGCATAATTAGGTAAACCGGTAAGCAATTGCATGATAAAAATCATAGGTTTCAAAGTGGTTCTTCGGTTCGCCTGCCTACATCTCCCAAAGAAATTCATTACTCGGACATAAGTTTGGCTGTCGTGTGGGGATAAACGCAATCAACTGAGTATGGTTGCGATCGCATCGTAGAGAAGGGACAAGGAATTCAAAGAAGGAAATGAGTTAGCTTTTCGCACTAGTCAATCTAGATTAGAGCCAGTTAGGTATTGCGCGACCTTATAAAACAGGAGGTTCTTGTTCGGCAGGAGGACTTAACAACCCTTGACATATGAGACTAAACGAAAACAACAACTGCTTGAATTAATTCATATGGTTCCGACCACGGGATTCGATCAGATCACTGTTGCTGCTGGCTTTGAAATACGATTCCTCAATCTGGGAAGGATAATTGACAGAAACTAGTCAAGCGTGATCATGAATGCTTGTCTTTACGAAAACCCTGAAAATGACACACGGCAGGGTTTGGATAAAGAACTACTTGGACTAAATTACCCCCATATTGTACGCTACTGGTCAACAGAAGGCATACAAAATTACTGATCAGCTGGTAACAGCATGTGCGCAATAGCTGTATTTGATTTGATCAATAAGGGACATCTACGGACAACTCCCCTCATTGAACTTGCTATGATAATGTCAACTATTTTCAATGAGGAATTTGTCGTCAGCACCTTCGGATTCCACACCAACAGTAGATACGTACTAGGACTGGATATTAAACGACACTCAGTTAGTTATTCCAAATTTATGACAAAAATAAATAACGAAAAGAGAGCTCATAAGCTTTTATGGCACACATAGAAGCCAGGAGACAGTGATAAAAGTGAAGAACTTCCTGGATATTCAGACTATTTACATAGCTGTAATGAATATGTCCTATGAGATGAACGATGTTCTTGGAGTATTAATACTCAATAACAATTGTTATTGACTGCATGAAAAAAATCAACTTCCTTAGTATTTGATTCGCCCTCATAATAAAATAATCCAGTTATCTCAACAGAAATGAAACACGTAGACAACAAACCATATATATACCTACATTTACGTAAATACTTATAAATTTAAAGTGCCTTGTCAACAAAGTAACGCACAATGACGAAATAGCGTGACTTCAGACCGTCCAATATCCAATATCCTGATTACGAGCTAGTATAAACCAGTGATTTCTTTGAGCTCGCTTCTTGATTGTGAGGTAGAGGTTCCAGATCTTCGGTGAGCTTCTGCGTAGTAAGTCCCGACACTCGACTGCTTTAGCTCTGGTAGACTCCAGGAGGAGTGGTGCGGGGATTGGTCGAGATGTGGTTTGTAGTATGCAGTATGTTAGGACTGTATTGCTGCCGTGAATGGAGTTTGACCTAACTCCCCTTGGTCATTCGGTGTAGTCATAAAAGCGGAATAGTAATAATAATAATAATAGGTTGTAGTGTAGATAATATAGGTTGAGATATGTGGAATAATAAAGGTGACCTAAGGAAAAGATAGAGTGAGAGAAGGCAGAATAGGTCGTGAGGATTTAGTTTGTACGCTTATTCATTGACAGTGTGGTTTCAAATTTTATGAGGATAAGCCATTGAGACACAAACCTTGCATTTCTGCATGATTGTCTAGCTTCCGCTTAAAAATCTCCAGAGATGGCGCTGTAGTCACGGCCGCCGGTAAAGCGTTCCAGAGACGGCAAAAACGAAGCGAAAAGAAATGTGATCGCACTCGAGTCTTTGGTCTCTGGTGTGCTATCCTTAGCGGGTTACCTCGTGGAAGCCTATAATCACTTAATGGCAGGATGCTTTTATTTGGGTGGGCCTGGTCATTTAGGATTTGGTAGACGGTGATGAGGTCTCCCCTGTGCCTACGGTAACTGAGTGTGAAAAGACCTAATTTCTTTAGTCTTTCCTCATATGATTTGTTGCGGAGGCCGATCACCCATTTTGTCGCTCGTCTCTGGACACTTTCTAGAATGTTAGCATCCCTTTTGAGTAGCGGAGGTGCAATGATATTATGCACCTCAAGGTGTGGCCTCACATATGCCTTGTATAGCCTTAAGAACAGTTCGGGAGTGAGAGCTCCCAGCTGCCTGTGCATAAAGTGTAATGTTGCGTAGGCTTTGGCGACGTCCCTCGAGTAATTTCCACTGGTGTCTAGCTTTTCTGTTAGAATAAGACCTAGATCACGCTCTGATGGAACACAACTCAAGTTCTGGCCACCAAGGGTGTAATTTACACTCTGTGACCTGCCGGAATGAAGCTGCACTACTTTGCACTTCTTTAGATTGAAAGGCATTCCGTTAGCCAAAGCCCAATTTCCCAGAGTTTGCAGGTCAGCCTGCAATCTATCTGAGTCTTCCGATGAGTTTATTGCTCTCCAAATCTTTACGTCGTCAGCGTAAAGAAGCGCAGAGCAGTTTAGTTGGGGGGGGCAGGTCATTGATAAAAATCAAAAACATCAACGGCCCTAGGATAGAACCCTGAGGAACCCCTGATGCCGAGGTGTGCCAGGATGATCGGATGCGGTTGACTTTGGTGCAGAATTCTCTCTCACCTAGGTAATCTTTCAGCCATGCGAGAAGTGCTCCAGAAACTCCCGCCTTGCCTATTTTGTGAAGGAGCAGACCATGGTGAACTGTGTCGAATGCTTTCGCAAAGTCGAGAAAGATCACGTGGGCTGGTACCTTTTTGTCCCAGGATAGTGTCCAATCGTTCCAGGCTAGTAGAAGATTCGTCACGCAGGATCTTCCCCTCCTGAAACCGTGCTGTGCTTCGTGAAGAAGGTTAGTCCCATCGAAGTATTTTCTCATGTGGTCGTCAATGAGACTTTCCAATATCTTCGATACCACTGGAAGTAGAGCAACTGGTCTGTAACTGGTCACATTCTGCCGGTCACCACCCTTGAAGATAGGGGATAGGATTGCACGTTTCCATTCACATGGAAGTTTCCCTACATCAAGGGAGTGTTGGAACAGATCACTTAGGGGTTGACAGAGACTTTCTGAACACTGCTTCAGGACAGATGGTCTGATGCCATCACAACCTGGAGACTTTCCCGAAGCCAACCTTCCCAATTTTGCAAGTACCATAGCCGGGGTAATTTGAAATGTCCCCAGCAGGTTTTCGTGTGTTGGTTTTGCGATGTAATCTGGATGTTCTGTAGGGGTAATATCCTCGTTACTATTTAGTTGCCTGTGAAAGGCTAGGCTGAATGTCTCTGCCATTTCAAGACTAGTAAGAGATTTCCCATCAGAACCCACTAGATTGCATGCTCCCTGGTTGGTCGGTTTTCTTTCGGCCATAAACCTGTATAGGCTTTTGGGGTTCACGAGAAGCTTATTGGCGAGGTCTCCCTGAAATGTCCTTCTATCGCTCCGGACTCGTATGTTACATCGATTCCTGAGTTCAAGGTACACTTCATGTTCGGGTTGACTCTTCGATCGTCGCCACGCAAACCAGGCTTTTCGCTTCGCCTGCAGAAGGCGTTGTGTCCCCCTTTTAGCCATGATCGTTGCTTCCTAGCTTTTGGTGTGACTAAAGGAACAGTGTCTGAGACCGCCTGGTGAATGATCTCCTTTACCACTCTCCAGTGTTCTTCAACTGTTAGCTCTGTCCATTTTTTAGGCCAATTTGCTTCAGACAGAAGTCTTCGCATTTTGGTGTAGTTGGCTTTGTTATAACACAGATAGGGCTGTGTATTGTCCCACTGTAAGCGCTCGCGGAGGACTATGTCGAATACTATGACCGCGTGGTCACTACTACCTATGGGAGTCGTGATCTGAACGTTTTCCACTAGTAGCTGGTCACTGGTGAGCACGTAATCCAGTCTAGAAGACTTCCCATCAGGGCCCCATCTAGTATCCATCTTGACATTTTCAGTGAATCCAGCCTTCCTGATGGTATGCAGCAGATTTCGATCAAATCTATCATGGGCTTTTCCCGACACCAAGTTAAGAGATGGGGCATTGAAGTCACCAGCTATGACAATTTGATCATAACCCATGTCTTGAGTTGCTGAGATTGTATTTAGCAGTACCTGGTTGTGGTCTGCTCCACATGAAGGTGATCGATATATGCTGCCCACTAGATATTTGCAGTACCCAACGGTGAAGTGGCACCATATGGAGTCAGGGAGCTCTGTGGGGGGAAGGTCCATCGCGTGAACACATCTGAGCTGTTTGTCGACGCATGTAGCGACTCCACCTCCTTCTTTCAGGTCCCTATCTCGCCTGACTAGGACCATATCATTTATACTGACTTCGCTGTCTGCCACCGTAGGGGTTAGCCAGGTTTCCGTCAGTATTATGATTTTGGAGTTTAGTTGTGATTGTAGGTGTCTAAGTTCAGCTATTTTGCCTCTTAGTCCTCTCACATTACTCTACAGGCAACTGGTAGTCAGTCTCACCACTTCCCCGTATTGGGGGGTAGTTGACTTGATATTGGCTATCGGTTGAGGAGTTATCCTACGAACTAGTTGGCCGATTCCCCAGGAACCGGCCTGTTGGCGTTTTTTTCTTCTAGTTCAGTTGGAGCACTCGGATGACACTGGCTATCATCGTCCGTGCTGCACCGCTGTAGTGTGACTAGGGGTTGAGGATTTTCTTTTACTACGCTTTGTTCTCTCCTTTGAGTGCGAGGCCGGCTCTCGCAGCAGCGAATGTGTTTGCTGACCTTTCCTTGGTCCCGTACCATCTATGGAGAGCGGTATTCAACTGGTCTTGGGAGCTGAACTTGACAGCTAACAGACGTGGCGAGTTAATTGACATAAGATGAGTGGGTCGAGGCAGTCTATAAATAGAGACAGCCCCTGAACTTCCCAGGGCCATCTGGGATGCTAACCATCTCCATTGTTGTACATCATGACAATGCTTTTCGCAGGCGTTCCCAGTTACCAGTTCGGGAATGCCATGCACAACCATGGAGGCAGAAGGAATGAGCTCTGGCGACTCCCTCGCCATTTGTCTTTCCTTCCACAGCCTGTCTGGCTTAACACGTATGTTACAGGCCCTCCCTATAGAAAGGACTTGAGAAGCCAGTAACACTTTTTCAACATCCTCGGTAGAGCCCAATGTTACCCTCAGTGGGGATGGTTTGCCTTCAGGTGCAGCAGTGCCCCTATACAATCTGCATAGATTTACTGGTTGGATATCCAAACCCAGTGTGCTACTCAAGATGGACCACTGTTCCTGATCAAATAGGGCCCTATCTTTCAGCAGACTACTGCTACAGTCTGGTACATTAAAGAGGATTACACAATTTGATCTGCTAACCGTGAGCTTGGGCTCGGTCCTCGCACGTTTGTGATCACCTTTAAGACCGCTTTGGTTTGACTGGTGCGACTGGGTATTTTTATGTGTCTCAGTGCTATAGCCAGCATTACTGATAGACGGTTGGGGTCTTTTTCCAACGACGGAAACCCGTGGTTCTCCAGCCTCTGTGTCTGGAGCGGTTATGGCAAGAGTTACAAGTTTAACCGGTGAGGATTTTGGTATCCCCGGTTTACGTTCGTTTGTACTAACTTCCGGATTGGTGGGGGTCGAGCTTTTCACCTTTTTCCCCGCTACTTCTGTGCCATCTTTAGTTTTCAAAGGACTACGCGAGGCTACATCAGGATGGCAACTCGGGCATATCTACCAGAACCATTGGCATGGGTTTTTACGCATAAAGTCATAATATGCTTTTGGTACCCCACTGTCGCATCTGCAATGCACCCATCGCTTGCAAAAGTTACATTCGAAAGCAGAGTCTGCTTGTTCGACAACAGAAGCACAAACCTTGCAGTCGTCTGTCTTCTTGGGGAGCGTTCTTGTCGTCTTGCGACGTCGTGAACGTTTCTTTTTGGCCTTCCTATTTGTTTCATGGTCTACCATGGGGATGGGTGTTATGAAGTTCTCACTTAGTGCAATTTTCCCACTCGGATCTGTTAACCTAGTCGTGTTAACAGGGGTGGAGCCACATCCACTTGGCTGACTTTGCACAGCTTCACTGTAGGACTGTGGCGACATGGGTAATCTGTACGAGCTGGGAATATTAGCCCTGGTCTTAATAATAATAGTATATTTCTTCCTGTTTATGCAGGAACATACCAATTGTACAGGCATGGATAAGTTATTATATAAATTACACAAATTGATGTATGATGAATTTACAGTTTGGTTGTTCTTTCTGACATTAGAGTCAGACGGAACAGTCTGCTATAAAGTCTGTTTGTGTAGCACATAAAGAGATATAGAAATATTGTCTTCGCATTAAAAAAAACCCAGACATCAGATGAATGTAATACAAATATCTGGGAAAAAAAGCTTGAAGTCAATCCTCTTACATAACTTTGTTGTGAACAGCACCCTCGGCTCAAAGTTTATTGATGTATTATGTTGAGATCAGTGATATATTTATTCTATTTTTTCAGTAGTCTTATCGTAGTTTTATAACAGGAAAGAAATTTGATCGGGGATGCGAAAACTAGATGAGGTCATGTGAAGTTGTTTTACTGCATCAAATGGTGCTGAGGTCGGTTCCAGAATTCTCCATTTGCTCCATTTGTGTCTGCATGGCGGACTGCATTCGTAAGTTCAGAAAAATGTTGAAAACTGTTTGAAAACCAGTTGCTTCTTCATTTCAGATCATGAATACTCATTTACAGCATGTTCGCCAGCGTCTTCAAATGGTAGAATTGGATCGTTCATGGAATTTGGGTGGTTATGAGGTAGATGGTTTGGAATTAATCCTCATTTCAGTTTAGATGCAGGGTTGTTCGACCTCGACCAGAAGATGAATAGGAGTATCAGAGTACCAAAAAGAGAAAGTATGTGAACATTAAAAGGACATTAATGTATATATATAATTGTTTATGTCAATTGTATAATAAATTATTAAGAAATTATTTTTAGTTATAGTTTTTTTTACGAATTTATGCGAAGTCTTAGAGTCTATTTAGTGTCATGATGTGTATTAATGAGTCTGAGCGTTTTAGTGTTCTAATGACTGATGCGTTTTAGAAGTAAGTAATGAGTTCTGGTAGGGATAGACTTTGGGATAAAACAGTTTATATAGCAAGCGTTTGAAGGTTACAATAAAGTGACACGTCCTATTTCTAGGGGTAAACTATTCCTGTATGTTCCGTACTAAGTCTTTATGCATCCATGCCGCTAGTTTATTTATGGTTTTTAGATTGTTAAGGGTGTTGAAGTGCGTTTTTTAGGTGCTGTAGTAGATTAGTAGTTGATTCGTTTTAGGAGTAAATAGTTTATTGATATAGTCAGTAGAGTGAAACAGTCTATGCAGAGAGCGTTTGAAACTTGTAACCGAAGAGCAAGTTCTGACATCTAGGGGAAGGCTATTCCATATTTTAGAATACATGACTGTGAAGAAGTTTTCACGGAGTGTTGACCTAAAAGAATGAGTTGTCACTGTGGAAGTTTGGTTACGCAGATCGTAAGAACCTTCCTGTGCGAATTGTATGTCCCTGTTACCTGAGAATGATATTTTGTGAAGGACCTTAAAGAAGAATATTAGGTTTATAATAAGTCGCCTTGTCCAAAGTGGGTCAAGTTTTAGGATCATGCACCGTGAGG